AATTTCTTGTCAGTGTGTTTTTGCCACAAAACATCCCTGTTGTGATTTAAGTTTTCCAGCAAATATGACTTGTGTGTATATGTGTATATATGTATATACACACGTACATGTATATGTATACATATATGTGTCTGTATGTATACATGTGTGTATGTGTGCATGTATATATATATATTTTTTTTTCTTTTTTGGGAGGGAGGGAGAGCGGGAGGAAAGAACACAGGGAGAGTTACCCTTGACCAGGTCTCCTAACAGTGTGGTCCCCTCCAGCCTTCCAGCAGGATTACTGAATGCACTTGGGGTGTACTTAGCATGCTCAGGTTGACCCAGGATCTGAACCTGGGTCCCCAGATGGCTTCAGTATCGCCTAGCAGCACCCCTCTGCCTTTGCCACTGCAGCAGACTGACTTCCCCGTGTTTTACACATGACAGGATCCTGTCAGACAGCTTGGCCGTCTTTCTCCTGTTCTTCTGGATGTCACCCCGATGTCCTCACACCTATCTCACTCCCGCCCCCGTCTGTAACCTGGCTCGCGGCCGCCTGCTTATCCTCCTTGCCATTTGTCCTGGCTTCAGCACATTATGACAGTGTCCGCTGCATTCTCTTGCCCTCTCAGCCTGGCTCATATAGGGACAACAACATGTCCGTTCCAGGCCTTTTTACCCTGGTTCTGCCGTGTCTGCAGAGACTTGCTCTTGGGGGAGATGACGTCACCCGCGGCCTCCCCGCCTGCGCCCAGGTTGCTAGCTGCTGCAGTAATTGGCCTGGCAGCGCGCTCCCTACAAGGCCGTCCTTCAGCTGGTATTCTGTTAGAGCTGCAAGGTTAACCCCCTTGGGAGTTCCCTTAGACAGCAGCTGTCATGCCTAATTAAGGAGAGACGTGGGAAAGGTGTTCTTCGGGGTGACTTCTTATCTCAGAGAACAGTGGTCTGGCCAGAATGTTTGGAGAGGGGAGGAACCAGCAGTTAGCATAATGGCTATGTCGCTGGACTTCCACGTAGTCGAACCCGGTTCTCATCCCAGACCCGGTGGCTTAAAACTCACGCCAGGCGCATGTGCGTGCGTGCCCAAGATCCCAAGAGGAGAATGGAGGAGAAGGGATTGCGGCGTGGCCATCCCCACTGGGGGGGGTGATTTCTCGCTTTCTGTCTCTCTGTCTGTCTGGTGAGCACACGCGCCCTATAGCAAAAAACTCTTAAAAAAAAAAAGAGAGGAGAGACGAAGACGTGGCAGCAGAACTTAGGCCGCTTGGCAGGAAATGCTTTCCTGGCCACCAAGGACAATGACATGGAGTGTTCCCTAAGAGACTTTGTGCGTCCTTGTTAGGAGTTGGGCAGTAGAACCCACTCCTGTTAAAACTTCTGTGCATCTAGACTGCTAGGTGTTCCGTAGCACAGGTACATGTATGGGAAGTGCTGTTCATACTGTACAAATTAAAAATCCTGAGAAACTAATAAACAAAGCCCAGTGGACTCTCAGATATCTCAATGAGGTGTAATTTTGTGGGTTTTTTTTTTTTTTGGAGAGGTTTTTGCTATAGAGCATATGTGACAGAGAGACAGAAAGGGAGAAATCCCCCCCCAGGGAAAATGGCCATGCCGCAGTCCCTTCTCCTCCATTCTCCTCTCGGGATCTTGGGCACGCACGCACATGTGCCTGGCGTGAGTTTAAGCCACCGGGTTTGGATCTTGAACTGCGGTCGACTACGTGGGAGTCCAGAGACATAGCCATTACACCAACTGCTGGCTAAGACCCTGTAAATTGGACTAACAAAAGATAGATTAACGAAAGAAAATAAAAAGTTGTTTATTAACACATGCATTGTGCATAAACATGGGAACCCCAAGTGATGAGTAAGTCGAAGCTGGACTTACATCAGCAAGAAACAGTACATTATTATATTGTATTCTATTTTGTTTATACAATAGGGAGAGGAAGAGAGAGAGAGAGAGAACCCCTAGAGGGTTCTAGTTAGTCTGGACCCATTTTCCCCCAGTTCTGTATCCTTTCAGGACCTTAGGCACATGCACACATGCCTCTGGAATGCTTTATTTTTTTTTCCTGTCAGGGTCAGGGTTCAAAACCCTGGTCCGCCATATGGGATCTGCTTCCTGTGCACGGCACTTAAATGCTGCACTGCAAGGGAAGCCCCACAATGCTACATTTTTAGAAAAGTGTCAAGACAAAGTAAAAGGAGCAGCTGTTGGGGGTATCAGAGATGAGGAGGCGCACATGTGGGTGTTAATGGTTTGGAGGATGATTTGTGCCCCAAAGTTTCACGTTTTGGACATTGATGTTGGGAGGTAGTGGGGTCTGGTGTGCGGTGATTGCTTCAGTGTGATCACATTATACGGGCAACAGCCTCAGGAATAGATTAATGATGTCTCTCAAGACCCAGCTGAGCTGTAGCTCTCGTGAGAAGGGCTCTTAGTTCCGGCAAGAGCTGGTTGTTGAAGAGACAGTGGCCCAAATCTCTCTCCCTCTGTCTCTGCATGTACTTAGCATCCTCTGTGGTCAGCCATTGCTGACACATGCCTCTGGAATGCTTTTTTTTTTTCTTTCTTTTCCTGTTGGGGCCAGGGCTCAAACCCTGGGCAGCCATGTGGGATCTGCTTCCTGTGCACGGCCCAGGCCTTTGGACTTTCCAGTCACCAGAATTCTAACTGTACAAATAAACTTCCATCTTTCCTGTAAAATCACCCAGACTCAGCTTACGTAGCAATGTAATAACGAATTAAGAGAATGAGGAAATGAACGGTAGATAAAGGCTGGTTTCAGCAAGACTCGTTAAGAATATTCTGGTGCCATCTCGGGGCTGGTAATGGCCTAGGTTTGCCTCTGGTGCTGAACTCAGGGCCTTCCTGGTGGTGGGGGAACTCCTTTACAAATGTAAGTGCCGCTTTTCGAGGAAGTATTTGGTGAGCAGAGTGCTTTCCTGATATTTGCTTTTTGTGCTGGGCCAACTGATGATGGTGTGATGGTTCAGGCAGCTGGAATCCCACATGGCCAACTGCATGCTTTGCGTCCTGGACCCAGTGGCTTGAAAAACATGCTGGGGACGTCCAAGTGCATGCCCAGAACCCCAAGAGGACAGTAGGGAAGGGATTGCAGTGTGGCCATCTCCCTGGGATGTTCTTTCTCACTTTCCCTCTCTCTCCTTCTATCTGTCTCCAGTGAAAGCACACACTCTGTTGTGAATTTAAAAAAAATCCAAAAATAAGTCAATAAATAAAGTCTGAATGCCCAAGTGGAATATTTTAGCGTAGCGTATTCTGCTGCTCTTCACTGTCTGGAGTGTACGGTCTCATGGACGCCCTCTTCAAGACTACGGCCTCTGAGACCCGCACTCCGACAAGACGATGGCTCGTTGCGAGACTTTCAAGGCCTCATCAGCTGGTATCAGAGCAGTGGGGGTAAGAGTTGGCCCCCGTGGTGCCTAGCCAGGAGAGGGTCCCTGAGCCTGGGAGGCCCTCCTTCTCCATTTTCCCTGTGGCCACGTCAGAGATAGTTGGTTGGGCCTGCCAGATTCGTAGGGCCCGCCTAATGAAAACGACTCACGTTCAAGAGCAGATTTTCTTCTTCTATATTGACCCTTCTTTTTTAAAAAAAAAAATTTTTATTTATTCATTCATTTATTTTAATTTGACCAGAGAGAGACACAGAGAGAGAGAAAGAAGGAAAGTGAGAAAGTAAGCCACCAGGACCAAGACTTGAACCTTGGTCGGCCAGGTGGGAGTGTCCAGCACCTTAACCACCATACCACCTGCTGGTCCAATACATTATCCCTTCTTTACCTACCTTTTCTTCCTCTCCTGTACAGTCACACACTTCATAACCTGTCTCTATTTGGGAGAGCTTTATATCTGAGGGTCAAGGCTACAGCCTATAAATTCTCTGCAACTCAGACTTTTACCAACTTCCACTATCTCACTGTTGGGCGGGGAGAGACTGCTTAGAAGACCTGGGAGCCACATTTCAGGTGTTCAGTATCTCCCGTGTCTAGCGGCTACCATCGTGGTCAGTGTGCACCGAAGGCCGCCCTAGGAGGAGTCAGCCTGTGGATGTTAATCTAAGTTGGTTTCCGCTTTCCCAGCCTCTCTAGGTTGGAAGCAGTAAATCCCTGCTGGGAGCGATGGGGAGGGAGAGGGCACTCGGGAGGGGCAGGAGAGGGATGGTCAGTGGCTGGTGTCCTTCAGCGCAGGCCCAGTGGCCTGCTGCACCTCAGGACGACGCCATTGAGCGCACAGCGCGGTGACCTGGTAGCACCATCGATGTTCTTTCCACGCTTGCACTTCAGTTCACAGCCCAGGTAGCTGAAGAAAGGCCGCGCCGTGTTCACAGAGGTGGGGCAGTGTGAAGAGTACGTGGATAAAGTTAAGGACGATGCCCCGGCTGTGGCTAAAACGATGCTGTGTTCTGGTTCAGGGACCTGGGCAGCCAGGGGGAGCACACCGAGGTCGAAACCCCAGGTTACACCGGGAGGCCCTCTCCTTTTGTGAAGCTCAGAGTACACAAACGACGCGTGTGACTTCAGCTGGCTGTGCCCATCACGTCCCCCTGACATCGCCACCTTCTCTCGTCCTGTGGATTGGCCTCCTGGTCCATGGGGCCCAGTTGCAACTGGAGCTTTGTCACTGACACGGCCCTCACGGTCCCCTGTCTGTGGGACCTTGGCAGTTGGGCTTGTTTGCAGTGGACTCTGCTGGAGCTGACCACCTCGTGGACAGCCACTGGGGGCGGTGGCAGCGAAGTGCGGTCAGCTGTCTGGCCTGCCACGTTAGACCCCAGCTAGCAGAAACAAAACAAAACACACGGCCCAAATCCAGCACTCCTTTTGCGCTTCCTCTGCTGTCGTTTCTCTTGCATGTAGAGAAAAATGACTAAGCCAGGAGCGGGGAAGGCCACAGTCACATAGCTGGCGTGTCTGGTTCTCGTGGGAAGCAGTCCGTCCGTGGCTGCTGGCTCCATCCATTTGGCTCTCTCTTTATTCCTCTTTTAGGCCGAGGAGTCCTGTAAATGTAATGGCTGGAAAAACCCCAACCCTTCTCCCACTCCCCCGAGAGCGGACCTGCAGCAAATCATTGTCAGTCTCACGGAATCCTGTCGGAGCTGCAGCCATGCCCTGGGTGAGTCCCTAAAGCTCTGGGAAACTCAGAGCCGGTTCGTTGCCTGAGAGCCCTAACTTCCTACGTCCTGTGGGGTAACCAAACCTGACCGCTATTTACATCTGTCCATGAGGCCAACAGCAGAGTCTGTCTAGTCTGGTGAGTTGGCGGGAGGGATTCCTGTGAGAGACAGTCCCTGCACTGTTTGCGTTGACTGCTTAGTTGTCTCTCTGCCATCTTGGCCAGAGCTGGGGGGATAGGGCAGAGGGGGTGTGGCCAGATGCGATGGACATGGCAGCTGAGCTGTTAGAATAAACATGTGGCACAGCCTGGCTCCTTCTGATGGGGAGCCTGATGGCCTTTGATCCCAGGGTCGAAACTTCAACCATCATTCTTTGCTTAGTAATAGTAACCGCGATGATGATTTTCTGAGTCTGTGAAGGTCCTGGGGGTGCTGCCTAGTTTCCTGGATCTGGTAGTTCTTTCTTCATGGCACTCTAACTTGGACTGAGTGAAGGTTGACTTGCATTTTCTCTTTCAACTTTCTTATCAGTCCCTGAAGGACCATGCATGTCAGGAGGGCAGGGTCGGCTCTGTTGCAGAGTTACTTAGCAGTACCATGCCAATATGTTTTCCTGCGTCCTAATACTAGCTTTAGGGAAAAAAAATTAATTTCTTTGGAGTATATAATTTTTTTTTGGTTTTTGGTTTTTTTAAGAGGTTTTTGCTATAGGGCACTCACCAGACAGACAGAGACAGAGAGACAGAAAGCGAGAAATCACCCCCCAGGGGGGATGGCCACGCCGCAATCCTTTCTCCTCTATTCTCCTCTCGGGATCTTGGGCACACACGCACACGTGCCCAGCGTGAGTTTAAGCCACTGGGTCTGGGACTCAAACCACGGTCGACTATGGGGGACTCCAGTGACATAGCCATTACTCTAACTGCTGGTCCCTTGAGTAGATAACATTTAATTGGGAATTGATGTTTCCTTGATATTAAGAGTCCAGTCCACACAGGCTCTTAGGCTATTACCTATTTTTCTGCCTTCGGTTACCCTGTTCCATTCTTGAAGAATGTCAGTAAGTCCAGTTTGCAGTCCCTTATCGGGAGGGCAGAGCATTCTCACTGAGCTTGCTCTTCCATCAAGCCGTTTGTAAAGGGGTGGTTTCTTTGGCCATTACCTCTTTTGCAAGCTTCACATGGTGTGGCATCCCCTGCCAGGGGAGCGTTTGTGAGGCCAGGTCTGAGGTGCTGTTTGTGCTCAGCTGGAGAGCGTCTCTGTACCTCACAGAGCAAAAGCCTAGGTCGTGTGATCTTCCCAAGAAGTAGACGCACTGCAGTAACTTCCGAAAAGGGGCATCTGAGGCAGAACGGATGAGCCGGGGAAATAATGCTGACTGAGGGAGGTAAGCCAGGCTCTGAAAGACAGATGCCCTGTGTTCTCGCTCGTTAGTGAGAACTGAAAGACCCGATCGCACAGGAGACAGCGAATGCCGCACACGGAAAGGGAAGGGAGATGGGGGAGTCAGTCCTTGGTTAACAGATACACGAGTTCGTGTCAATGTGGAGCGAGTTGTAGAATCCTACATCGCATGAACCAGAGTGGTGCCTATTCAATATGTAGGGCAGAATAGCAGAAGAACAGATTTTTTTTTTCATTTTTTTAAGAACTTAAAAAATATTATTATTTATTTTAATTTGACGGGGGGTGGGGGACAGGGGAAGAAAGTGAAAAAGCAAGCTGCCATGGCCAGGGCTTGAACTGTGGTTGGCCATGTGGGAGTCTAGCGCCCTTAGCCACCACACCACCTGCCGGCCCCAACAGGAGAACAGATTTCAAATGTGCATAGCACAAGGAATGATGCATATTGAAGAGGGTGGATCTGCTTATTGCCCTGACTTAATCATTGTACTGTATATACGTTTTCGAAAAAACTACTGTACTCTCCAAAGTTGTACACTATACATGAATTAGGGTTCATAATGAATATGACTTTAAAAAGGAAATAAAAACACCAGTAATTTTATCATTATATTGATTTAACTAGTGTCTAAAGTTAGGTACATTCTTATTTTTTAAGTATTCAGTACAAAGGAAAAATTCTAAAAATGATCGAATTTATAATTTACCTTTTTTAAAGAATTATTTTATTTAGCTTTATTTATTTATTTATTTAACTTGACCAGAGAGGGACAGAGAGAGAGAAAGAGAAGGAAAGTGAGAAAGCAAACTGCCAGGTCCGGGACTTGAACTGTCATTGGCCATGGAGGAGTCTAGAGCCCTTAACCACTCCAACAACTGCCGGCCCCTATAATTCACTGTTTCTACAGGCGATCTGAGAGTGAGTCCCCTTTAGAATTGCCTAGCAAAATATGATGCAGTAAAAAACCGGGCTCAAGAAATTCTTATGCTGGGAACCAGCACTTAGCATAATGGCTATGTCACTGGACTCCCATGTAGTCGACTGCAGTTCGTGTCCCGGACCCGGTGGCTTAAACTCACGCCGGGCGCGTGTGCGTGCATGCCCAAGATCCCGAGAGGAGAATGGAGGAGAAGGGATTGCAGCGTGGCCATCCCCTCTGGGGGGTGATTTCTCACTTTCTGTCTTTCTGTCTCTGTCTGGTGAGCGCACACGCCCTATAGTGAAAAACCTCTCAAAAAAAACCAAAAAAGAAATTCTTAAGCGAGAGCTTGATTTGTATTTCCTATTGATTGGGAGAGCCTATTATCCTACATCAATTCACATTTAAAAAAAGGATCTTCTTTTTCCTTAGCTGATTGTCTCCATTCTGAGCATGTAAACACACAAATGCCTGAAGGCAAGAACAGAGCTTTAAAAAAATGTGCACCGTTCAAGTCCTGGACCTGGTGGCCTGGAAAGTATTCTGCGCATGAGTGTGTGTGCCCAAAGTCCTGAGAGGAGAATGGAGGAGGAATTCTGTGGGCTGTCCCCTCTGTATCTCTGCACCGGATGCACACACTCCATAGCAACCAAACAGAACAGAACAAAGCAGAGCACCTAAGTAGGAAGGCGGGTGGGGGCGGTGGGGAAGTGGGTCTCTGAGGCTGACCTACATGGGCAGGTGCAGTCCCCAGGCTTCCCCGAGCACGCCAGGCGTTGGGCGCCATGTCCCGGCTGGCTCTGTTGGGGTGGACGCAGCATCGAGACGCTATTAGGATGCTCTGTTTCTCCCTTTCTCTCTTGCTTTGGGCAGAAATAAATAATGTATAAAAAAGAAAAGCTAGAAACAATTTACATATTCCAATGTAGGAGATAATTGGTTGCATTAGGAAAATCAATATTTACAAGATGGCTGTTAGCCAAAAAGGTGTGTTTTGCAGCATGAAAAGACAATTTTTTTTAAGAGAGATTTTTGCTATAGGGCACGTGTGCTTTCTGAAGAGACAGAGACACAGAAAGTGAGAGATCACCCCCTGGGGGGATGGCCATGCCATAGTCTCTTCTCCGTTCTACTCTGGGACTTTGTGCACATATGTACATGCGCCCAGCGTGACAGGGTCAGAGTGAGGGTCGTGAGAGAACACAGTGCCTGAAACCTAAGTGAAGACGCCGTTAGCTGTTACTGCTGTTAGGAGGAGTGCTACCACACTCAGGGCTCCTTCATGTCAGACAGCAGGTACCAGTTCTGTCCAGTTTAATCAGCAAATAGTATTTATGAGAAGGGTGCTGGTAACCCCGAGGAGCTCAGAACATTGGGAAAGCAGGATTTGGTCTGGTTTGAGGATCTCGGCAGCAAAAATGGGTGGATGCTGCCCTGAAGGATCCAGCTCCCTCCTCCTCTGGCTGCGTGGGCACAGAGAGGCTCGGAGGGCGTGGAGCCTGTCGTAGGTCTGACCCTGCGTTTCAGAGAACTGCTCCACGGAGGTGGTCCTTCCCCACAGGTAGGGATGCTGGCCCGAGGACCGCCCCGGTCCTTCGCGAATATCTCCTCATTTTAGTAGTTTAGGAAATGCAACATTACGAAGGGAAAAGCAAACGTTTTCTCTCTACTGTCACTCCACGCAGAACTGTCAGTGACCAGATGTCGCCCCTGCTCCTTCGCCACTCACATCCCAAGCAGTTCCCCGCCTTTCTGAACCCTGCAGGGTGTCCTGTAGTACAGCTCAATTCTGACACGGCTGACCCGGAGGTGTGGGCTCAGTCACACCTCGGCCCCACTTCAGACGCCAGTCACAAGTCCCAGCTGGGACCTGTGCTTCTGAGCCACTGGCTATGAATTGTCCTGGGTTTCTATAATTTGCTAGGGCAGCACTCAGAACTCAAGGAGACACTTACTCCATTTATCTTTATTTTTAAACATTTAATTTTATTTAGTTATTACTATTATTATTTTGAGTTGACCAGAGAGAGAAAGAGGGAGAGAGAAAGACAGAGGGAAAGTGAGAAAGCAAGTCTCCAAGTCCGGGACTCGAACCTTGGTAGACCATGTGGGAGTGTAGCGCCTTACCCACCACACCACCTGCTGGCCCCCATTTGCCAGTTTTTTTTTATAAAGAATGTTATAAAGGGTGAAGAGGAAGGGGTGCGCAACGTCAGGAATGCGGGAACAGGGGCGGAGGTTCCTTACCCTCTCCAGGCATGGCACCCTGCAGGTGCCTGCACACACTCTCCAACCTGGACAGGCCTCACATCCGGAGTGCGAACTTTGTATAGCGCTCAGTACACACACACACACACACACACACACGCACACATGCGTGCACACACACACACACGTGCGTCCTTTCCAAGAGCTTGGTAGGTGGGGCTAAAAGTCCCTATCCTCTAATCCTCTAAGCATTTGTTTTTTCTGGTAACCAGCGTCATCCTGAGCTACCTAGGAGCCCCACCCGAAGTCACCTCTTTGGAATCAATTCGGGGAGCTCAGAAAGGCTCTTCGTGAATTCCAGACTCCCCCATCCCTGTGGCTGGCCTCCACATTTTAGTAGCTTTGTGACAGGCACTGGGCACAGAGCCCAGGGATCTGTGCGGAGTTATTGACAGTGATTGTCTCAC